GCAATTCAATCAATTCAATTAGGGTAGTTTATATGAATGCATGAGGGGAACTTACTGTCTTTAGAAAAGTATTTTTTCTTTTTTTTCTTTTCCTCTTGCGCTGGCAGAGAGTGAATCTGCGTCTCATTCAGCTCTTCTGTTTCTGTTTCATGCAGATATTTTTTATGTATAGTTTCACAAAACTGAAGTCAAACCATTCTGTTTTTGCTTCAAATTTCGAAATTATACAATCTAATTTAGTTTAAAAACTGCTCATGTTGCATGTATGCAGCATCTTTGTTTGGATCGTGATTAAAATGCAGTGGTTGCCTCTAATTTTAAATGGAAAGAGCACTGACAAAGCCTTAGTTTGTTTATATGAAGAGATTTATTTTATTTGTGTTATTTATTTGATTTGGGGTTTGTTTTAAAATTTCTATTTAGTTTTGTTATTTACATTTACATTATATTTAAATTTTGTTATTTAGCAAACGCTTTTATCCAAGGCGACTAACAAATGAGGACAATAGAAGCAATCAAAACCAACAAAAGAGCAATAATTTACAAGTGCTATATTAGTATATTATTATAGTGTTATATTTCAATTTCACAAAGAAACGTACAGTATTTTGTCCAAGCAATAATAAAAGGACACATTTAATTTATAATTTGTTTTAAATCTCATTTTGTTAAAAAAAAATTGTGAATCGAATCGTGAGTTGAGTGAATCGTTACATCCCTAGTAAAAAGAAACAGTGGGAAATGACATCTGTTTGGTTAAATAGTACAGCAACTCCTTTTCTGTTAATTGTTATTTCTACCTTTTATTTTCTAGTCACAGAGCACTTTATTTTAAGAGTTGTTTAAGTGAAAGAACATCTGTAACTTTGTCCAAATTGGGGAATCGTAATGTTTAATCATTTTTTTATTATCTAAATACATTTTTTTGCATTAAAATGTATAGATTTTTGTTTGTATATGCTGTCAATTATAGTTTTTAGAAAGAAAACCAGAATCGGCAAAAATCGGTATCGGCAGGTCACACTTACAAAATAAATCGGAAATCAGAATCGGCCAAGAAAATTACAATCGGTGCATCTCTAATTAGGTGTGTCCCAAATCGCGTACTTATGCACTATTCTATGACGTTTTGTA